TTCAGCAATTCTGAGTTTTTTCCCAGAGACTTTGACTTTATAATAGCTTAGTCCATCTATATAACCTACAGACATACAACTGCAAGTGTTTATGTATCCTTTACTACGCAGATGGAGTTTGCCATCAAAATACTCCATTTCAATATTGCCATCAGTGAGTATTTCCAATCGATCAATGCTGATTGATAGAATAGCACTGGTTAAAACGAGGGAGAAGTCATCATTAAATATATCAAATTCTTTAGTGGTCATAGCAGTGCTATTGTGAATCGTTTCCATGTAAGAGTAAGTAATCTTTTTATAAGACTCACTAACTTCAAAAGTGTCAGTATGTTCTAGCATCTCCAATAATGAGGATACATAGCAGCAGAAAGTACAAGTGGATAAATCTGGTAACAGTATGTGAATAAATGCTGATTTTATGGCATCTTGTGTTATTTGTACACGCCTTGAATATCTTGAAACGAATTTGAGCTTGTCTATTAAAATTGAGGAAATGGAAATATGCTTCATTTTTATGGACTCAATCCAAAGTTTTTAAAAATTAAATTCAAACTGCAATTAAAGCTTTCTCAATGAAAATTTTGGGAGTTATATTTAAATCATGCATATTAATCTGCTACTTCAAGGTGAGTCACTAAATACATTTTGTAACTTAACTTGTAATTTTTTATAATTTTCCTGAAAATTTTACTCCACAAATGCTTTTGCTCAAAAATGATCGAATTGCAAAGGATATTTTTGATGACAAAGTTTCTTTTGAACATTTTATGAACAATCTCGATATAAAAATCATTTCTAAGAATGAAAACACCATCGAATTTGATCTAATCAATTGTCATCCTTCTATCGCCAATGCTATCCGAAGAATTCTCACTTCTGAAACACCCACATACGCATTTCACGACCTAAGCATCCATGAAAACTCTACAATTTTTCCAGACGAATATTTGGCTCAGAGGATTGGCCTGATTCCAATTTCTGCTAATCATCATGGAGTAGAAGAATTTGATCAAAATTTTATCCTTAAAGTTCAAAATGATACAGATAAAATCATTGATGTTACGAGTGATAGTATTATAAATGAATCTGCCTCTATCAATATAAAATCTGGAGTCTTAATATGTAGACTAGCTCCCAAACACAAGATTCATATAGAAATGACAATTAGTGTTGGGATAGGACGTGTTCATGCTAAATGGAGCCCTGTATCCTTATATACATACAAGATAATGCCAAGAATTGTTTTAAAAGAGAGAATTATGGACTCTGATGCAATTGAGCTCCAAAAACTGTTCTCACCTGGTGTAATAGAAATTCAAAACAATGAGGCTGTTGTAATTAATCCTAGGATAGAATCCATGAGCCGAGAAGTTTTCAGACATGATAGATTTAAGGATAAAGTGATTCTATCTAGGGAAGATGGATGGTTCTGTTTCACAGTTGAAACTGTGGCAGAGGATCCAACTGAAATTGTAAAAAGAGCAGTAAATGTTTTGATTGAAAAGATAAGGTTGCTAAAGAAAGATATAGAATTGCTATACACTGAATAAATGATGTTTCTTACTAGATTCAATGAGTATCTTTAAAGGTATATGCCCCTTTATGAATTATCTCAAACAGATATTCTAAATTTCATAGTTTTACAAAAAGGATAGCCTTGAGTTTCCTTCCTAATTGAACAATGGTGTACTTATTCAAACCAGTAATACTCTTATTATTTGTACAAGATAAATAATTAAGGCAAAAATACCAGCGATTATAAAATTTGATTTAATAAACAAAAAATAATTTCGAGAAATTTATTCTCTCATCATATCAATCAATTTTTTCAGCGCAGCTTTGGAGTCATGAAAGTCCCCATTGGCAGAAACAGGTATAAATAAATCATCGGCCTTCTGTGTTGTTTGTCCATTCATTAGAATAAATAAGGTGGGTTTGTCAAACGATACATCTTTGTCTTCAGAACTAAGATATATTATTGCCGAAGATAATTCAATCTGCATAGCTCTTATGCTTTCAGAAACCATTTCTTCCGAACAAACTCTAAACACGAGCTTATCACTGTTAAAAGTGGCAGGGTATTCAGCATAGCTTTTGTCTACCATATCAATCCCAAAAGTGGCTTTTAAGAATTCTTTCTTGTGTCGAAAGCTTCCAATTAAGTATAGAACGTGTTTTGTAGAATCTCCACAGCATAAAAAACTCATCTAGGGGTAATAACAACTAAAAAATATTAAAGGGTTGCAAAGGAGGAGGACAAGAAGTAAGTAAAGTATAAAACTGTTAACAGCCATAATAGAGTAATGAGTTATATTTTGATGCTCACAACAATCGTTTAAGTTACATATAGTTCTCATTCATGCATTCTATAGTACCTGAATATATATAATATATCCCATTTTAGAATATCTACATAAACCAGGTCAAAGATTAATAGTAAAGCACATTCTAAAATAAATTTATTGAAGCTTATAGCTGATTAGATTCAGATAACTGCACGTTTGCATTCCTTACCGCTTCGATAACCTTTTCTATAGTTTCAAGTTTCTCCTTGTTTATCGATAATGAAGGAATTGAATAAACTTTAGCAAAGAACCCTCTAGGATCTTTGGCAGAATCATAAGGGAACTCAACAGATTCATCTCCTTTAAATAACCCAGCCACTAAGTAAGTAAATGCCTGATTGATGTAGGTGGTCCTGAGTGAATTCATTCCCTTGGTAACTCGCTTTATTTTGGCTTCTTTGTCATTATCTGATGAATCACTTTTCCTGATCTCATCAATCTCGCTCAGTTTTTTTTGCATACTCTTGGTTTTGAAATCTTCGCGTGTGACAGCAGAGTGAAGATAAAAGAAGAGATAGTATACTCGACTTAAAGCATGAAGTCCACGTCCTTTTGGCTTACAGAATGCGATTGTTTGTATCCAATCTTTAATATTGTCCATATCCAGACCTGATTTTCCTATTTCTGCTGACTTGTTATAAGAAGTAATTATCTCATTAATGGCTGCTTCAAAATCCTCGGAAAATGAAATCTCATTGTTTTCAAAAGAAATCTTATAGTTGTCAGGATGGGAATATATATCTCCAATGAGCTTATTAAATTGATTGATCCATGGATTGGTATCCTTGCTATCATCAAGCCACTGAACAATGGCTTGTTTTTCGACAGAATTGAACTGCTTTGCATTTTCAAACTTAATATCCTCATCAACAACCATGTATTCGGTACGCTGGATTGGTTCTTCTTTTCCTACAATCTTGTAACTTTCTGGTGGAATCATTACAGACATAAAGTCACGACGAGCTTCTAAAAATACCTTTTCCAAGGAAATCTCATCATCATTCTTGAATAGCTTGTATTGATCTACTTTTCCGTACAGAAAAACATCTGGACGGAAGTCTTGGTAAAGAGAGTTGTTCATCTTTGGTTCATTTGGCTGAACAAGATTCAAGTATCTATCCACTTCTTTCCCCCCAGGTGTGTCAATCTTCTTCTTCATCGGTATAAAGCATCCCGTTCCAAGATCTGCATCCTCTAGATCCCTCCATGCAACATAATAAATGGGAGAGTACTTAAAATCAAGGGCGGAGTATCCCATGTACAGCTTCAGTGCAAAATGAACAATAAAGGCTACAAATCCGAGATAAAATGAATATTTGAACATCCTTAAAACTTTTTGTTGCTTCTGTTGAGCCATAAACCCCTAAATGGAAATTTTTTTTTAAAATAAAAATTTTCAAAATAAATATTATTTGTTAGTAAAAAGGAGTCAGTTGGAGCAATCAGAAAATATAAAAAATAGAAAGCTGCATGTTGGATAAAAAAGGTGTTTAATATGCGATTAGGATACCATTCCATAGAACTTAATTTGGTTTTCGCATCAACCACTGATTTGAAAATAATATAAGAATGGTGTCTAATTAAAACATTTTCCAAAGAATTGCCAGAAATGTGCTTCATGACATCCATAATAAATGCATCTAAATCTTTAAAACATCTCTGTAATATCATTTATTAGGGATTATTAGCTTCTTCTCGATCCATAACCTCTTCAATCCTTCGAACTTATTTACCAAAAATTGTAACTCAACGGATCTTTTCTCTTGAGCTTCAAAATTGATATCAATAAATCTCCTTAGCCTTTCTTTTAAGTCATCTCCAGAAGGATCATTCTCAGTTTGCAAAACCTCATTGATTATGTAGAACAGTGTTAATCTGTGATGAATTGATGAGTGTTGAAAGACAAAATTTATTCCATCTAAGATTGTGGAGGATTCTTCCTTAAAAAGTCGAATGTATTTTGCAACAGCCTTTAAATCTGATTCGATAGGCCTAACACGACAAATCATATTCAGAAAATAATCTTTTGGTAGAAGCATCAATCTGAAGGGTACAAAATACACTTAAAAGCATTTTCGGCTTCAGAATAAACCTTTTGCTGTAATGTTATTATACAATCTTGCTCTCTAAAGTATTCTTAACCTTACAATATCCATAATACTTTAGATTTTATTCTCTGAAAGGCAAATATATCCATGGATTCTGTCCTCAACGTACTCCTACTAATTGACTAAAAACTATCTTGTAGAATTATATTTGTCTTTGAAACGGCCATAGAGATTACTTAATCTTCAAAACATAGATAAGTCGATTTAGTCTCTATAAACTTTGTAATACACAAAAATTTACAAGTTCATGCTTTCAATACTTTTTAATTCCAAAAATTTGTTCCCTGAAATGTCTACAAAGGGTGAACCATATTTTCCACTAGGCACAAAAATCGTTGACAATAAAATGGCTACAGTATATACTCTCAAAAAATTACTTGGACGAGGTGCATATGCACAGTGCTTTTATGTGGAAACTGCACATGGAAACAGCTTGGCACTGAAAATTATCCGCAAAGACTCTTTACAGTCTGAAAAGATAAGGCAAAAACTAGAAACAGAGATAGAAATACACAGATCACTAGACCATCCAAATATTGTAAAAATGTACAACAGCTTTAGAACTGAGACACATGTTTTCATGGTTTTAGAGCTCTGTGAAAAAGGGGCAATGGATGAATTGCTAAAGAAAAACTCCAAGATATCCGAAAAATTTACACAGAAATTCATTTTGCAGATTATTAAAGCTCTTGAGTATCTCCACGAAATAAAGAATGTTGTTCACAGGGATTTGAAGTTGGGAAATCTATTTCTGGATGAGAAATTGGATATTAAAATTGGAGATTTTGGACTGTCAGCTGTTATTGAGGATGGACAAAAGAGAAAGACAGTTTGTGGCACACCAAACTATATTGCACCCGAGATTTTGTTTGGTAAGGTCACTGGCCATTCATATTCTGCAGATGTCTGGTCATTAGGTGTAATCACATACACCTTACTCATTGGAACACCTCCATTCCAGCAAAGCAGTGTCTCTGAGATTTATAAGAGAATCGAAGAGAACAAGTATATTTTCCCAGAAAGCTGTACGATTTCCGAAGATAGCAAGGATTTCATCTCAAAGATACTAATTTCGAATCCAGAAGATAGGCCAGATCTAAAGCAGCTACAGTTGCACAGGTTTGTCCAGCCAAGAGAATCACTGGCTAAGCGTATTTATTCAAACATTAGAAACAATTATTACACAATTGATCAGATTACTGATGATCATGTAATCTACAGTTTTCCAATTGATATCTTTAAAGGTGTAGGGTATATTTTAAAATCCGGCATTTGTGGAATATATTATCAAAACATGGTGAATGTGTTCTTAACCAAAACATTCTTCAGAATTATTCAGATTCAAAACAACAATGGGAAAAAGATATTTATTTACGACGATTTTCCAGTTCATAGTGTTCCATCCAGCTTTATGACACATTTTAATAACATTAAATATTTTATAGAGAATTTTACAACTCTGAATTTTAAGAAGTTAGATTTACCAGAATATACCTCACAAAATTTTATTGCAAAAATAAAGCGTGTAAATGGGGGATTGTTATTTGTGATGACAAACAATGTATTTGTATTTGATTTTACATCTGGTAAAAGGGTTATTGTAGCAAATGATGGCAGATTGATCCATTCAATCGATGATGATGGAAATGCTGTAGGATTTGATACAATTATCAAAGAGGCCTGTTTATCAATTCTGGGTTTGTACGCAAACAGGTAGGATGAACTTGATATATTACTAAATAAACTGTAAGCTGTTCATGGGAATTCTTATGTTTCCCTTATTTTGGTATGATCAAATATTTGACAGGTAGGAGAAATATTACGGATTAGGAAACTAAATTTATGTATGAGCTTATTCAATTGATTTGTTGAATTGTTAGATTAACAGATAGCACTACTTCAAAAAACTAACACTGTTTTATTCCGAAAATGGAGGAGATATATTAAAAAATCAAATGAATATGTTATATTATACGTATCTCAATATAATTAGCTAATGTGACTGAAAAGAACTAGAATATAAAGTGTAGTGTCCAAGCATTGAATCCTGTAGAATCTGCTTGCTATAAGATATTTGATACCTTCAATTTAAATCATAGATGCAAACTGAGAGTTCATTAACCAACATAATAAACACATCAATATATACATTGAAAACAAGAATTTAACAGTAGTAGTCCAGCAATGCTAATCCAACTAATTTTATTTAACGCCAAGTCACCTCAACAGTATCCGTTCTATACCTTTGAGTAACATCACATGCCTTCAACTCCGATCTATATCCACTGTTATACATTAAATACCCTGTATATGCAATCATTGCCCCATTATCAATACAGAATCGTTCGTCCATGGCATAGAGAATACCTCCTCTCTGCTCAACCATACTCTTCATCATCTCCTGCAATCTTAAGTTGCAACCTACTCCTCCAACAATCATAACCTCGTCAGATTGCACGAATGAAAGGCATCTTTCTGTACCCTCTACCAAAATACTAAATATGGTTTCCTGGGCTGAATAGCATATGTCTTCCGGAGTATATTTGCTCTTAATGTTTTTCAAAAATGATAAAATTCCACTAAATGACATATCCATCCCTTTTATGGTGTAAGGCAGTGGGATATATTTTGTTCCGTTTTTAGCAGCTCTTTCTATGGACAATCCAGGAGATGGATAGTTATCTAAGGACAATTCTCTAGCCAGCTTATCCAAACAATTTCCAACAGCAACATCCAGTGTCTCACCGAATATTTTATATCTTTTACTGGTTTTAGAATAAATATTCTGTTTCGAAGGTTCATTATTCTGACTTTGTCTATCTAGAATGTCTTTTTTAAATGCATTCTCAGAGATATCTAAATCATTAATCCCCTCTATACATGCATTAGTATCTCTACACATCTGTTTTTCTACAGTACCGGAATATGCAATAATCTGTGTGTTACCTCCACTTGCATATAGTATTACTGGGTTCTTAGCACCTGTAACCAACCTACCCATTTCTATATGTGCAATACAGTGGTTTACAGGAATAATGGGTTTGTTATACAATAAACCGAGTGTTCGTATCACTGTACACGCCACAGTAAGTAATTGGTGCATTCCTGGACCTTTCGTGTATGCGAATAAATCTATATCACTCATCTTAATTCCTGCAGCAGTTAAAGATTCACTGATTAGATCAAAGATATGTGATTTATGATGCTCAGCAGCATCAATTGGAATCATTCCTTGGCCAATTGGTGGCACAAATGTCTTTCGTAAGTTTGAAAGAATTTGAGAATCTTTTGTAATGCCAATACCCAATTTGTTAGCACTTGCTTCAATTCCTAAAGTATACATAACTGGGGCTGAGACGATTTCAAGATTTTGAAGGAAATATGAAGTAGGATAATTGAATTCTTTAAAATGCTTTGGATCAATGCAATACAAATCTATTGAATTAAACTACTTTATCAAGCAAGGGAATAGTTGGCACCATATACATCTACATTCGGGCCCTCATGATGATGTGGCCGAGTGGTTATGGCGATAGTCTAGAAAACTGTTAGGAGTTTCCTTCGCAGGTTCGAATCCTGCCATCATCGTTTTTGAGATATTATATTTTTGATTACATCTCAAATCCACACTTCTATATCAATAACTGTTAATTCAACAAGAATATTGGTATAGTTGCTTTGAAAACATAGTGAATGCTCTATAATCAAAATTTTCAGCCCAACTAATTTTTGAATTTAGAAATTTTTGCTGGGAATCCCTTGTTTATGAACTGTGCAATCTGTTTTAATGAGTATACAACTTCTTCAATAAACCATTCTCTTATGGCCAGATTTCCGTGTGGACACAGTGTTTGTGTACGTTGTGCTGCCAAGATGCTTGTATTTTATGGAGATAGTACTTGTAGTCAATGTAAAGAAGAGGGAAAGCCCAAAATAATGGTTTACAAGAGTATTAATGATAGATCAAGCTATGGGCATGAAGTTATTATTAAAAATGAAGAGACAATACCAATCAAAAGCAAAAAGAATATTGAAGTAGAGAAAGGAGATAAAGAGAGAGACAATAATGGCTCCAACAAGATGCCCTTACTTCTATCTACAACATCCCATCTTCCTTTAGATGATCTAGTGTGCTATGAATCTGAAAATGTCAGAATAGAAGCTAATAGATTGTTTGAGGTTAAATGCACAAAATGTGAATACAAAATTATTAAAGAGATTGCCAAAACAAGTTATAATCTGTTGTCCTTGCATTATAAATCAGCACACAAAATACTTATATGTAATATTTGTATAAATAGTAATCGGTTTTTTCCAGACGAGCTTATACATTATAATATGTCTGCCACAAACACAGTAATAAAGAGTCTGATTAATCATAAAAAAGTAGATCATTTCTATTGTAAATTCTGTGATTTGTATTTCTTTGATTTTACCGGTATAAAAGTGCACTGTGTTGAATTCCACCAAATTTGTTCTATTTGTCAAATCCTCCATAAAACCAATCAATATTTCCAAGACTATGCTGAACTGGAGAAACACTACCAAATAGAACATTTTTGCTGTGAAGAGATAAAATGTAGGGTAAATCACATTTTTGCCTTTGCACATGTAAGTGAATTGGTAGTACATTATAAGACAGTACATAAGAAGGATAGAGATGATATACTATTACACAAGAGAAATACAAATGATGTAACATTCCGGGATGATATTCCTAAGGGTTCATGCCCTAAGGCAATGGATCTTACTGTTGACCAAAGAGAAATATTTGGAGTAGAAAGTAAGAAATCTTCATTACATGGAATTATGAACAGATTAAAAATAAAGGAAACTGGTGATAATAGAATGATAGGTAATACAATGAACAATGACTTTGATAAGGAATTTCCAGCATTTGGAAAAGTTACGAATAAGATAAGCAATCAAATTAATATTCCAAGTTATTTGGATAGATCCCAATTAGAATTCACTCGATTAAGACGGTTGCAGAATATTTCCAAGGAATTTTATGAAGAAATTGATCACTGCATCAGGGAATACAATAGTAGAAAGGGAAGTGCCCTATCCAACTATTCATCGGAACTAATGCTTGTACAGGAATTACAGGAATTGGTTAGCCAAGATGATATTTTAAGAGTTTTGGAATTAATTTTGAAAAAAGACAATGACGACTTTGTTAGAAAATACAAAAAAGACCTAGAATTTCCTAAATTTGAGAGCAAACAAGATGAAATCCACCGAAATACAACTAATTACAGCAATAGTAGTAGAAAAAGTAGAATAGGATTCAAAGTTATTAATCTTGGTAAGAAATAGTCTGAATATACCATGTCAAAGGAATTTTGTTCAATGAATTAATTAATCTACTCAGTTACCTATTTAGGAAGTAATAAGATATGCATTTATATTTAAGAAAAAGAAAACCATTGGTATTGTTTAAACTTATGTGAGATTTATTGAATAGTACTCTAAAAAGATGATTCAAAGTCCATTACTAAAAAGGTCTGTTGTTGAACCAAGCAATATTCAATATGTGTGTATTCCTTGATTTTGACCATTTATCGAATATGTATATGCAGTAATTTTTCCAACAATTCTTTATTTTTATTTTTTAACCCTATGCTTTCTACTTTTGTTTTAATCTTTCTGTCGTACATGAATGCTTTAGTTGAAATAGTTGATAGTAGTAATGGGCATTCTGTAAATGCATTCACAACTGCTCAACCAAACACAGTACATTATGTTGTTGTTGAGCTGTTTGAGGTTACGTCTAGGTCTTTGAATAAAATAACTGATAGCACCTTGACTACTCGTCTAAGGGTTTTTCATGAGGATTCTAGTTTTCAATCACAGCCAATCCATGATGACAAGAAAAGAGGGTCGAAGAATGATTTCTTCTTCATGGCTAGTATGAAGGGTCAGTACACTTTTTTGATAACAATCGATGGGCCAGGAATCTATAAATATAAAAAGTTTGGTGTAGATTATAAGATTTACCAAGGAGAAGAAAATAGACCAGCCATTGTATCCGTAAATGATGTAGAAGTGAGTAAGGCTGAAAATCTAATAAAGGGAATACTTGACTACGCTAAGAAGAATATGGTAATTCAAGAGGTTGAGTTTCAGGATGAAAAGGTACCCGTGGATATTTATAGTGGGATTATTAAGAAAGCGATTTTAATGATCGGATTAAAAATTATTTCGACAATTG